AACTGGAATTTTTTTGGTAACAGGAATGGAAATTGTCAGACCAGTCCTGGAAGAAGTTTGGCAAAACTCTGACTTTTGGTGAGAGAAAGCTGTTAATTTGTCTCAATCTGATGAGAGTGGGTCGGTGTTATTAAAGCTGGCTGAGAGCTGACTTCAGGGGCGAACACTCATTGCTGCCAAATAATCAGCAGGAAGAAAATCATCTTTGTCTCCTTATCACAGTCTGGCTGAGGGCCGCTGTTAATTTTAAACAGCAGAACAATCTGATAAGGAAAGCAAAAGGCTCTTAAAAGATCATTTGAGATGAGAGATGGGCGTTTGAACATGACAGCAGAATAATGAATTGCAGGGTGGCTGGGACAGGGTACGTCCAGCCCAAGGCTTCATCCAGCTCCAGACACACCATGGCCAGGGCAACCCGGCAGCAGTGCTGGGAGCTTTTTCCTCTGCGTGTGCTTATCCTGGAAAAAACTTTTCTGACCTTTCTTTAGTGCTTCCAGAGACCTGGTAGGGTAAGTCACTCTTATTCCAAAGCTCGTATTGCCCCACACCAGAAGTTTCTGTCTCTGAATGGAAACAAGTGAGGGATTCGAAAGCTGCAGCCCGCCCTGCTGGTCCCCAATCCGGGAGCTGGCGATGCTTCTTGAAGCATCAGTGCTTGAGGCATCTGCTATGACATCCTGGTGTCTGTCCTACCCCGTACAGATGATGACCAGGAATCGGAGCCTCCTGTGATTTCATCCTTTTCTTTGTGTGTTGGTCACCAGGTTGGCTTTTAGAAATAACCGCAGGTTCCAGCACTTGCAATACATCTCCAGAGAGCAGCGGGCGCCGGACCCCCCCAAAGCTGCTCCTGAAAATGTCAGTCCTCATCACCTTTCCTGCAAAATGGCAGTCACGGCGCAGACCTTCCTCCCACAGCAGGTTGCAGTTTTTCCTGACCTGAGATTCTAGAGAGCCTGTCAATTAAAAAGCAGGATGGAATATTCTCAGCATCATTATCCGGTGCTGCCAGCTCATGCTTCAATTGGATTGATTTTGTCGGTTCAAGTACATGGCAAGCAATCTTTTTGTGCCCTGTATGGGCGCGGGGAGGATCAGACTGCCATGAGCGCATTTATCAGCGTCTGTCAAGTGTGGATAAACGGAGCCGACCCTGATGCGTGCGGTCGTGTCACTGGAGGCAGCTGCCCGTGCTCATTTTCCCACGGATACATGTGAATCCTAGCAATGGGCTAAATTTGTGCACCGGCTTGTGCTTGATGGGTATGGTTAATGAATGTTTATGGCCAATTATATTCCACAGAGACACTAACCAGCCTCAGCCATTGCCTGATTATTTTTTTTCTCTTAGTCCCTCACTGTTTTAGGTGCTGCTTTCAACAAAAAGGTGCTGTGAGGCACCTGTTCTCCAGCCCCCTTTCCCTCCTCCCATGCCTTTCCTTGCTGCCTGACGTGCTCCGTTAGCCCAGCTGTTGTTTTGGCCGGCAATATCTGCAGCAATGGCCCTCACGTTGCTCTGATGAGGCAGCAGTCGGATTGTCTTAGATTTCACTTTATTCTGCCTTATCTTGAAAACAAATTGCTGGCAGCTTGATTGTGGTGATGTGTTACAATACCACTGTGATCCATCTCTCTGTTTAAGGGGTAGAGAAATGCTGTTTCATGCAGAGAAAAGGCTAGTGTTGTCTTTAAAAGGTACAAACCAGAGGGGGGCTAACACTTCCTTTGTGATTACTAGTTTCTCACACCTGAAAAATCATCTTCCGTATTTGATAGCAGGGCTTTGCTTGTGCATAACAATCTAGACACGATGCTTTCAGACACTGCTACTGTGGACCCATCTGCACCTACTGATAGTTTGCTTTTTCTGTATTGCTATGCTGCTATCAAGGGCTCATCTTTTTGTTTGGATTGGTGCAACTCCTGGCATGTGAATTAGTTCCACCTATAGGAAGGCTGGTGTTGCTGTATAAGCGGGGGGAAAAAAAAAAATCCCTAGTGAAAATGCTGCTTGTACCAGCAAGAGTTTGTTTGATTGATAGGAGCTAAACAGTTTGCTTTTCCTAGAATAAACCATAATAGCTTAAAGTAAAGTCCTTGCACAACACCACTGCCTGGATGCATCATGCTTTTTCATGTATTCACGGTTTAGGCGGTCTTGTAAAGAAGTTCTTAAAGGTCTTAACACAGGAGTTCTTGCTGTCCTTAAGGTGATTTAAGTATAGGCCCATCCCAAGTCTGCTTTTTTCTGGGTCAGTGTCCAAAGGACGGACCACGTGAAAGCTCCCGGCTTGTTCTTCTGAACCACCTCTGTACTGCAGTGCCTTCACTAGACGGTGTCCTTTTCCTTGAGAAACAGAGGGTTAGACTACTCAAGTCTAAGTGTTTCTATATGGTAAAAGTGTGGTTAGGTTAAAACTAGATAAAAAATAGCATGTGTGTTTACAAAATAGCTTTTTTTTAATCTTTTCCTTGTTCTTATGCGGATAGATCAGGTCTTTGAGTCCTACTGTTTACATCCCAGCCAAGTCAGACAGCCTTTGGAGCAAGCCTGCAAATTGATAGGGCTGGATCTATTGCTTGATCTGAAGGCAGTCTCCAATTAGATGCCAATCTATAAGCACTTTGGCAGGTTTAATTCTCTGCTGAAAAGATGATGCTGCAGTGCTTCAGGACCTAATTTACTGTCTTGTGCTGACATTACCAATCAACAGCCACAAACAGAGGAAACTGGTATTTCTTCCCAACTTGTGTCCAGCATGACAACTGAGCAAAACCACGCTATTCTGTCCTGCGCTCCTTCAGCTTTCTTGGCCATACCAGAGCCAGTAGAGCTGACATTACACTGCTGGAAGCTAACCGACCCTTTGACAACACAAGATGCTGCTCGGCGCAGGAGCTGGTATGCCTGGTGGGGATGGAGACTCCCTGACGGAACTGGATGTGGCTGCTTGCAAGGGTTGCTTCAATTACCCATTGAAGTGACCAGCACTAGTTCTTTTCTCCTCCTCCCTCACAAAGCATTTGACCTTCTGGCCTCCATCCTGCTTGGTATTGATTTGTTCTGGTCTTTTATTTTTTTAAATTTTTTTTTTACTGAGAGTCCCTGGTTCCGATGAAAATGATCAGTGCCCGCTCTCCATGCGCGGTCATAGAACTTACTCCCTGCCATCCCGGCAGAGCGTGCTTTACAAATGCAAAGGGGTGAAAGAGCTGGTCTTCCCTGCTGGGTTTGAACAGCTCCTCCTGCATAAAAAGCTACTCAGAGTAGCTGCTATTTTGGAGAAATCGAGGCAGATGACCTTCCTGTTCTTCAGTTATCTGTACAGAAAAATACACGTAACTACCCAGCAAAGGACCTGTATATGTCTTGTCAGAGTATCAATGCAAATTCAAAGACCTTGGCTAATTCTTTATTTGGACAACAGTTCTGCCCCAGGCCCTTTCCTTGGACTTCTGAGCTATTTTTAAAAATGAAATAGTGAGAGCTACTCTCTCTAAGGTCCCTTCTCTAGAGGAAATGCTAGGTTATGTGGTCCTGGAACCATAAGTGTTTTACTACAGTTATTCTGAATACATTTCTTTCTCAGATTGCTTTAACAGGAATAGACAAAATAACATAAAGCATTTTCACAGTCATTGCCAATCACAAGAAGGAAATGTATTGACTACAAAATAGCCTGGGTACAGACAGAGAAATTGCATCTTTCTCTCTTTGTACATACCTTTCTGGTAAATACTCGGAAGCATCTTTGTTATAGCTTGACATCACAGGTGAGAGATACTTACAGCACTGTATCTGTACATGAAAGCAGACTTATTTTTGGAGATAAATAAAAGGGACACTTAGAAGATGACAAAACCCACCCTCCAACAAGGCACAAGACTTGCAAGTCTTGTATCACTGACATTCAGGTGATTCACCATATTTCTCAAGTCTTAAAAAAAAAAAAGTGTTTGTTCTAATGGAGAATTGAGTGTGACTTTTCTGTGAACAGTGAGCCTGGGGTGGGGGTTTATGCCGATAATGCTGATCATGGCAACAACCACTGAGTCATGACACTGAAGGAGAAGCACCAACAGAGTAACAGCTGTCAGTGAGTAAGATAATAGCACCATTTATAATTGTAGAGACAGGAAACAAGGATGGTCTAAGAAGCTTCTTTTAAAAATGTATTTTTTTACAGATACATAATGAACATGGTATGAATCTCGTGTGCATAAACAACTAGAACTGCCTGTACAATTTCAGTCTTAACAAGCTTTATCTGACAGAAGATGTATGCTGCTTCCCTCTATCGACCTTTAGTGTCAATGCCAAGACAGAAAGCACAGGCTAAAGAAGAATCTCTCACAAGTACATGATTACAGGTTTTTCTGATTAGTAATGGGAAATAACCCTCTGCAGAGTTAAACAGGATGAAAAACATTTAAGTACTAGAACACATTTAAAGTCAGATAATTCTATGCAAGTCTGTGATGAAAACAAAGTTATTTGTAGCCTCCCTGGTTATCACTCTTGGATTCCCAATACAGGATCTCATCTGGCCCTCTTTTGGAGAGGCTGAAGGAGATAAAGAACAGGTACAAAATGACCAACAAGAGAAAAAAAAATACTCCCCCTCCAGTCACATCTATAATAGAGAGTTTGGCCAATAAAGTGGGATATTGTAGGAGGGTATGTTACATAGAGAGGAATATCAAATAGTAACAATGTCAACAATACCATCAATTTAATGATTGCAATGATGGCTTCCTTTAAGTTTCCAAATTCATGTAGGTGAAAAATATCTGTCTTCCTCCAGGCACACCTCAGGGCCAACTCAGGCTTAAATAGTGAAGATCTATAGAAAACACCACAGTGGACTTTGCAGGAAAGAAAAATAAATGCCCAATTGAGTAATAAAAAAGGTATAAGACAGGAAGAAAAACTGATTCAGTGGTTTTATCTGTTCTGTTCTACACCGTTAAGTTTTCTGATGCTTCTGAAGAACTGCTTTTTTTTGTTTAATACGTCTCCTGATGAATTACAAACAATTCACATTCAGACTGGAATGATTAGGATGCTACAGGCTGGGAGAAGATCAAAGTAAGATTTCAGTTCAGCATACACTGTGTCACAGGTGCTTTGCTCTTGTCCATAACAAATGCCAGTCACTATCTCTGGAAGTCCAGAGCTGGGTTTTTTTGTGTGTTGGGGTTGGTTTTGGTTTTTAAATGACTGATAATTAGCACTTTTATCCCCCCCTGCCCCCCATGATTACTGTTGTTGGGTACAACTTCATCAGGGCTCAGACAAGAGGCAGCTCTGTGGCACAGCTGGCATATATCTCACTGCTCTGCAGCTGGAGGTTCTTCCTCAGTCTCCTGCTTCTCTGGCTGAGATTCTGGAGGGATGAGGTACTGTACCTCCTCAGTATTGATTGCCACTTTATCAGGTTGCAGCCATCGCTTTAGATGTTCTAGCGTGCTAAGGGAAAGCAAAGACACAAAGTGAAACAAGAGAGCAACAAAGCCTCACAGGAATGTATGAAAAAATGTGTCAGGAAAATCCTCCATATATACTTCTTGCACCTCTGTAGGCATTCCTGTTGCCACAGATAAGGTCCACCATGAGACTGATTGGTGTCCCAGAGGAGCAAGCAGAATCTTTCATTCTACAAAGACATTCTGCTGTAGTTGGGCTTTTTAAACTATGGTTAGAAAAGTTTTATGCTCTGATTTTTTTCTTGATGAAAAGAATCCTTAGCAGGTACATCAACCTTTACACTCTTGAAGTACTGGTCTGTCCGTAGCCAAAGACTACAATTTAATTTCCAGCTTTCTGGGCTAGAAGTAAAATACCTAGTGTTAAACAAACACACACAACCCACAACTGCCTGTTTGTGAAGATTAGGAAATATAGGGGGGGAAAGGAGGGGAACAAAATGAAAACAGGAAGCACATATAAAAATGTGTGACTGTTAATAACACCAGAAGATTAAAGAAGAAAAAGGCAGTATGTGTAAATTCTAGAATGCTAACCATACTATGGATTCTATAGATTTTTATAAAAATATACTAGCATAATTACAGCCTATCTCACAATAACTGGTCTGACCAGAACAGATCTACCTTGTCTTTGTTTAAATGCTGGCTATAATCCTAAATGTTTAATATTATAATTCTTAAATGTATGCATGTGTGCGTATGCTCATCTTCTAGAAGTGTCATGCAATTTATTCAATACTGCCACAACAAAATTAACTTGCTCTTGCTCTTTTACAAGAGCAGAATTTCATTTAGTAATGTCCTTGAAATTATCTGTATGCTTAAAAGTTAAGGCTTGTTTAATTACATTGATGGGTGAGAATTAAATACTTCAGCACCATTTGGGAGTGACTTCTAAGTTCTTAGTCAAATTCTAGGGAGGAAAATTCTTTCATGGGTAACATCCTCAGCCTTTAAAAAACAGTAGAGAGCACATATGTCTACAAAAGCTTGGTTTTAAATAGAAATCACATTAAAGTTAACTGGTCAAAGAAAGAATCTAAAAACTCCTTGTAAACATGGATTATTTTTCATACTTAAACTCCCAAACTAGCTTAAGTAGATTTTCTTCAAGGGAGAAAAATAATCTTCTTTCCAGCTAGGAGCAATCATGGAAAATGTCAGCTCAGAAAGCAGAAATATGGAGAGCATTATAAGTGATTGGGATGTGAGATTACTAAAGAAAAGGACTCTCATCTTAATTCATACATCATCTGTAAAAGGGTAACGGGTGAGAGAGCAGAAGCATCATAAGAGTGGCACAGAAGCGAGAGCTGCTTGGGAAATCTAATCTCAGGACTGGTACCAACCCTGTGAAGAACTTCAAATCCCACTTGTGTCTGAAGCAGTGCTTAAGTGGGCCCTTACAAGGATGTAGGAAATGGCCTAGGGTTCATTTTTAATGCTAAGCCTTAAAAAAAAAAACAATCTGAGACACATTAGACATCCCCTCCTCCACTCCATTCCTTCCCTACCCCAAATGTGACAAAGGAAATTATCAACTACATTCCAGTTGTTTCCATGCTGGATTGCTCCAGTCTGAGGGATGCAACAATCGGTGAACAGCATTGAAAGTTCAAACCCTACATGCTCCATGTGTTCCCCTCTAGTACGATGTAAATGGTCATTATCAAACTGTTTCATCAAGGCTGTGACAGCCTTACCAAGTTGCAATGAGATGTTATTTTTGTCCTAATGCTGTATCACAAGTCCTGACAAAACCTTATTTTAGTTTTTAAGAAATAAAGTCTGTTTGCCAACACAGTAAGTGGTAATCCTTTCTCATTGACTTGCTTATTACCTCTCATCAGAGTCATGTCCCTCTACATAAAATTCTGACTCAAACTTCTCCTGCAGGAACCTGTCCCAGCATTCCTTCTTAGCCTGGGAGAGAGTGCGCAGCATATCCTTGGAGGTCACCTCTTGAGACAAGCCTTTAATTCTTCTCAGTCTTCTCTCTGTGAAGAGACAAAGGAGGGGTCTTGATTACCTTTACTATGTTTGTCTGAAAGGAAAAAAAACAAAAACAAAATGTACCTGGACTTCTATATCAAAAAACTTAAATTAACTTTTCAAGACTAAGTCATATTTTAAGTCATTTTTCCCCCTGTATTTCAAGTCTGCATGACTGTATTTCTTGTATGTATACAAGATCATATTTTTTAGGTGATGCTTCTGAAGGAAATAAGTTTTATGCAATGGGTCAACTCTGCCCATTTTTGAGTTTTAATAACTTTCACATTTACTGTTCAGTTTCCATGAAATCACACAGGAGAGTTCAGCTCTCACAGGCATTAAATTCCCACAATTTCCATGCAAATTGGCAGGGAATATAAATCACACTAATTGTAGTGTGAATCCAAATAATGCCCAAGCTGAGGAAAAAAATGAATGCGAGTGCAACAGTACTATTAGTTGGGTATCTCATAATAGAATGTGATATTGTGAGTTTCTCAGCCACCAGGGATGATGAAAAGCACCTCCTTACCAGGCGCAGGGTAATCGAACTACAATACACAAAGCTACAAGAAAGCAAATGTCATTACTTCCTCTGGTCACAAAATCTCATTATAATTGTTTCCCACTTAAATTGGGGCAGGTATTGACTTGTAATCACATTTTTTTCTGAAAAGCGTATCATCATTAGTCAAAGTGGGCTAGTTCACAAGACTGTGGCCCATCTGTTAAGTTTCCTGGAGGTTGTCTTGTGTCACAGAACTGAGCTGTCACCAAAAGTCTCTATACCTAGCAATTCAGAAGATTTGAATTATGGTATCTGTCCAAACATCCAGCCAGGCTGATGCTATGATTTTGCAATCACTAATCCTGGCCAGGTACAAACATAGAACAGGTTTATTTCTGTTGACTTAGCCAGAATATACAAGAGAAACTTTGTGCTAGTGTTATGCTTTCATCCTGGCTATGAAAAAACAGACGCAGATCTAGTCTGAAGCCTGCTTGTAAAAGTTAATCCACTGGCATTTTCTGAACAAGTTGGAACTGCAGCAGGAATTAATACCAGAAGAGCAATTTATGTTCTGCTGCTGTGGCACCCCTGATCTGACGCTAAGAACTCTACTCTGTGTACTGTGAAATAATAGTTTAAAACAGCAACTAAGGCAAGATGGAAGCTCTAGCAGAAACAAAAGCTTATAAAGCTGCTTTTGCCACCCATTCCTCCTGGCCTGTTTCTGTATGCGGCCTCCTACACAAGCCAAGACAACTATGTGCGTGGCTGCACTGCAAACCAGGTTACAAACTGACCCAAGATAAAAATAACTCCACAGGAGGGAAAGAAGTGGAAAAGCCATAAAGATGGAATATTTTGCTACAAGTGGAGGGAGTAGCGGTCCAACTGCTGGAGAGCAGGGGAACCGCAAAGCTTCCTCCTAACAGTCAACAGGAGCATCGGTCCTGGGGTTGAATGCTGTTGTACAATGAGGCCTCTGAAGGGAGTAGGAAATACTCAAAACAGGGTGACAAATTCCATGGCCTTAGAGCTAAAGACTGCAGCGCTTAGCTGTGCTAGGATGTTAACTCCGCTACTGGCAACCTCATCATCCCTCGTATCAAGTGTTTCTATCAGCTGTTACACTGTTCACAATCAATTTATGGCTTTGTAGATTATGCAGGAATTAAGAGAAGCAATCGCACAAAGATGATCTGCATGATCTGTCATCTTAAAATACAGATTCTAGCAGGCGTGATCTGGGAAAGCATCACAGCTTTCTTTCCCATACCTGTCCCTCTCCTCTCCAACCAGAAAACAGGTCACAAAAAAATTTCACTTTTCTCTTTCCACTCAGAAGTGTCTCCAAAGGACAGACTCCATAAAAAGAATGAGACAAATACTGGTAACACAAAAATACATAGGCTCTGTAATGATTTCAGAATGCATTTCCCCTCCCCAGGTCAACTAGAGTGGAACTACATGCTCTTCAGAGAAGAAACAGCAGTGTCCCTACCCTGCTTATCTGGAGGGAGAACCCCAAATTCTTTGGTTTGTACTGGATAAAAAGTTCCTTTCTGTGGTATAGCTGAAGAAGCTATGACTGTGCCTCTCAGTTCCACTGATGCCCTTGCAGCAAATGAGTCAGATGCTCTTAAATAGTTGCAAGACACTTTTCCAACCAGAGCTGTGAGCACCGTCACCTCAGCTGCATAAACAGAGCCATAGCTGTCATCAAGCACCTAAGTAAATGGAGAAATTGAAGCCTTACCAGACACTCACCTAGGGATGCTAAATACACCTCTGAATCATTCAGGGGTGCCCAGGGCTTCAGCTGTGTTTGGGAAGAGCCATCTGATCCACTGCCCTGGCTTCCTCCATCGGCATAGGAATCCATGAAGGAGTCTGTAAAAGCATCGCTAGCGTCCTTCTGGTCGGGATGTGGCAGACACGAACAGATCTCAGCCCAGAGGTCTTCACTGGACCTGGTGACCACGGAGTCAACGCTCTCAATCATTCTCATCGTGAAGTCCTGAGGCGGAGGGAATAAATGATGAACACCGAGCGGAAAACCCTCTCTCCCAGGCCTCCCCCTGCCTACCCCCCTCTGCCCAAGTCACGTCACCAGACGTTTTAGGGGCCTCTCATCCCACCGGGGAAGCGAGGTCTCCCTCCAGAGAGCGATGATAAACTCTGGGGTGTCGCATTTACACCCAGGGGCCCGGCGAGCCCCTCAGGGCCTGAGGGACCCCGCAGGGAGGCAGGCCGCCATCCCCCTGCCGGCACGGCGCTCCCTCCGCCCCTTCCCCCGCAGGCCCCTGTCACCACCGCTCCCCGGGGCCGCCCCAGCTTCTTCCCCGGGGATACGGAGGGGACGCCCCGGTCCCGGTCCCCACACCCGCCTGTGCCACAGCTGCCGCCGCCCGCACCGTAAACACGGGAAGCCGCTGCGGCTTCTCATCGCGCGTCGATTGGCGTCCTGGTCTGACCAATCGCCGCGCTCCCCCGGCGGCGAGAGGTCGCCCATTAGCCCGCCGCCCGGCGGAGGGCGGGGAATCGGTAGGATGCGTGAGGGCGACTGACTCCCCTGCGGCGCCATCTTGGTAAAGGGCGGAAGTTTTCCTGCGCGGAGGAGGCGAGCGAGCCGTTACACCTGGCAACGGGCCGTGGGGGGCTTTAGTGCGGCTGCGCGGTGAGGACCGGGGAGCGGGGAGCGGGACCGGGACCGGGAGCGGGAGCGGGACCGGGACCGGCTCGGTGGGGCTGGTGTTGGCCGCTGGCGGGGGAGCGGGGCGGCCTGGGGCCCACTCCGGACCGGGGGCCGTGCCCTCTCGGCCCCAACCTTCCCCAGCAAGGCGGCGGCCGCCCGGTGCCGGCCGAACCGGGGAGGAGCCGCTCCACCGGGGCTGGTGGCTCCGGTGTCACCCTGACCCCCACGGTAGCGTTGCCACCTGGGTTTAGCCGGCGACAAAACCGCTTCTTTCCCCGCCCTGCACCCGCCGCCCGGCCCCGTCATCGGGTTGTCGAGGGCTCGGCGTGAAGCAGCTGCTTTGGGTCGGATCCGTCGTTTTAAACGTGGAGAGCTGCAGCCGGCCGGTAACGATTTCTTAACGGGTCTTGCCCGGCGCCGAGGTAGCGGCATTGATTCCGTGGGGCCGACAGTCTGCCCGGCGTACCCTGCCAACGCCGGCCGTCGTGTTCCCAATAGCCTGCGAAGCGCAGGGTTGCGTTAGGGTGAGGAGAGGTGAAAAGTTTTTGGGGCGCCCGTCAAACAGCTGGTTTGAATTCCCTCTCTCCAGGCAGGCAGCTGCCCGTCTGCGTGGGATGAGCTGCCCGCTGCCCTGCGTCCTGCTTGCACTCATGGGACTGCTCTTCGCCAGAACGATGGCCTGGACTTCGAGCGGGAAAACCCACCCGGAGCTAGTCAACAACCTCTACAGTGAGTACCGGCGCGGGCTCCCGTTCGGAGCAGGTCCTAAAACTGCTGATAGAATCTGCTGGCATTCCGGTGTAAGGCCGTTTAGTGTTATACAGCCGTACATTGCGGTGCCGTTCGTCCTGAAGCACAGGAGTTGTTATCGCCTGAATTTCAGGATTTGTCCCCGTCTGAACTTGTTCTATTTATAATTGGAAACAAGACGTTATGCCAGAAGTGGAAAGACTATCCACAGCCTTCCTTCTGCTTCTCTGGAGCAGTAAACGGATGACACCTTTTAAAATGCTGCACAATGTGGCATCGCTCTGAGCCTGTAGAGGCCGAGCCTCCCAGCAGTCTGCGCTTCCCCTCCGGTGAGATGCCCTGGGGTTGGGTAGTGCTTGGTGCTACCGCTCCGCTCGGGACAGCGGGCCAGAACGCACTTAAAAATAGCTTTGCATTTCATCTGCTGCTAAAGGTGATCTTTCCCCCCCGAGAGTTCCCTCAGAGATGAGGTGTGAAGGGACGTTGAACGTTTCTGCAGTCATCGCTCTTAACTTTAGTTTCGCCGTGCCAGTGCTCCTGAAACCTGAACCGGAGTCTCCCCTTTCAGGAGTGAAAGCGTGACTCTATTTATCTTTCATTACGCTTGGCAGTCCCAGAAACATTGTGGGTGTAAGTCACCATTCTCTGAGAGAGACTGGGCTGATGGTTGGGACCATAACGTGATTTCATTCAGTGTAGCAGAAACTGAAAAGGATATCCTTCCATCTGCGGTTTTATTTTCTGTCCTTTCTCAGGTCACTTATACAGGTTGAATTCTCCCAGTTCCACTAACTCCCTGAACTGTGCTCCCCACTTCCAAATCTCTTCTTGCTACAGTACTGAGGATTTAAGTCCTTTCTGTCTCTGTTTTCCTCCTTCTCCCAGAAAAAGGGATAATTAAATCCCAGCGAGTCTTTGATGTGCTCTTGGCTACTGACAGAGGTCACTACATCAAATATTTCCCGTACATGGATTCCCCTCAGTCTATCGGTGAGTAACTTAAGGCAAAGTATCACCCTTTTATGGTCTGCATGCTGACTATGCTGCTCATGCTGACAGAGGGGCATGAAGTGGCTCGGCAGGTCCTGCTTCTCCATGCTAGGCGCTCTCTTCCCAGAACAGCGGCCAAGTTTGACAATAGGTCAGGTAGAGCAAACCCCATCCGTATTTCAACTGTGGGATGCAGAGGAAAGAACAAGACAGCTTTTCCATGTTCAAAATGTTCGTTGACTGCCCCGAGTCCCACTGAGGGAGCAGAAGCGAGCGCAGGCTGCGAGATCTGCAGGGCATTTTAATGAGTGAGCTGGGGCCTGGAACACTTGGGAACTGCGGCACTGTGCAGCCATCTTGTGCTCGTTAGTAATCCCCCAGGAGGAGATTTTAAGTCAGTGAAGTGCTTTAGTGCGACAAAAGAGAAGAGCGTTTTCATATTTTTAGGGGAAAGTAGGGGAGAATAAAGAACTGTTCACACTGGTAATTTTAATTGTCATTTCTTTATCACATAACTTTTGTCACCGGTTTCCTTTTAGGATACAAGGCTACAATCAGTGCACCGCATATGGTAAGATGAAACTTTTCACTTTTAACAGAAATGAAGGAAATTGTTTGCCATTTTTTATTTTATCTTTTTCTTAAATACTAAAGTAGAAAAGTAAAACAGAACCCATGAACACGATTATCATGCTTGTTTCTTTAGGCACTGTATATGTGAAGCCTCTTTCTTTTTAAGATGAGTTTGCCCTATGCTCTTTCAGTTGCTTTAAAAGTATGCTTAGATAGGAATTCTGTGCAGCGGAGGCTAACCGTTAATGTTGCCCATTTTTTGCATGAGACCTTTTTTCCTGCTGCTTCACATCTTATTTCTGAACCTCTTCCTAAATGCTGTTCTGCAAAAAGATGTCGCAGATCAAACACTTGAATTCAACTCTGAGCGTGTCAGACAAAATGCCGGGTGTGCTGTGTTTAAATCGGAGAAGATAATGCTTAGAACAAGAAAAAGTTTTAGGAGAGGAAACTAAAATGAGATGTTTCACACCTTCTTCTTGTCCACACAGCATGCCCATGCACTGGAATTGCTAAAGGATCAGCTTGTGGAAGGTGCAAAAGCGCTGGATGTTGGATCTGGAAGTGGATATCTTACAGCTTGCTTTGCCAGGATGGTAAGCTCACAGGACTCTGTTTCTAGCTTGTAAGGTGCATCAGGATGGGTAGCTTGCCATAGCTGGCATGTGCTTTTTGTGGGGAGAGGAGGAGGAGGAGGTGGGAGGAAGGGGTAAATTCTTCCCAGACCAGCTTGTAGTAAAAGAAAATACAGTCATTTTTGGAATCTAAATGGATGCTGTATCTGCCGTGAGATGTTTTGTATGTTAACCCAGTTCAGATCAAGTGTGTTAATCTACTGTGCAAGTCCATTGTAGGTTCTTTTTTGTTTGCTTCTTCAGCAGTCATAGTCTGTTTCTTTGTTTACTAAACTGAAATTATTTTCTGTGAAGTGCTAGAAAGCTGGTCAAGTTACTCTTCTCAGGAGGTTAGTTAGTCAAGAACTGGCCCTGCCACAGAAGCTGTTAATTCTACCAAATAATTATTCCTTTGGAAATGAAGGATTACTAGGAATCCCTGTAGGTGGCGTCTGTGTATCCCTCAAGTAGCTAATATAACTGGGACTATTCAGCCTTAAAACCAAGGGGGCAGAGTATTTGCCCCTCCTGTTCAGAAACTCTTCTCTTAAGTTTCTTCCTGGAAATTCTCCAATGCCTATAGAAACTTGCCCTATAAGATACATCTCCCTACCATATAGGAGGTATATCAGTGTGTGTCTGCTGTTTTTCTTTTCAGATGGGCCCAACAGGGAAAGCGGTGGGCGTAGAGCACATTAAAGAGCTGGTACATGAATCCATCAGAAACGTCCAAGAAGATGATCCAACTTTGCTCAGCTCTGGACGTGTAAAGCTTGTGGGTGAGCTCACTGGGATCCTGATGTTTGTTCTCTCCTGTCAGTGCATTAGCTCTAGCTGCCTGCAGAGCTCTGCTTCTCGAAGCAGTTGTTCCAGTTTGCGTTGATAATTGCCACGGCGTTGCCAGAAACTACTGGCTAAGTAAGCACCGTGCCACGCTGACCTGAACACTGTGGTGTAAACAAGTAGTATGTAATGTTGCAGGCAGTCTTATCATACGCCTTACTTCCTAGTGTGTAGTAACTATCTTAATTCAGTAAGAGATGCTCTTCGGAGGAGAGTGGTTATACCACATCTGGCTTTTAGTTTATTTGAATGGGTCTGCACACACTCTTGTGGGTTTTTTGGGAGGATAGCTTGAGTCAGCTCTTCCTGTATCTGGAATCTCAAGCCTGCACAAAGCCACTGTGTTATTGAAAGGCCTTCCTGGCTTTGACTGTTCCTCCTTCTAGCATGGCTCAGTTCCGGAAATCTCTTCCCCCTTTTCAAAAAGTAAACCAACAAAATTCAAATTCCCATCACAATCTTGGTACAAAGTTTTCATCATCTAGATTTCCACTGAAATGATGTAGGAAGAATTATTTTTGTGTGGAGTTGTTATCAGAACAAAAGTCTTTTTTCATCCTGTAGTTGGAGATGGCAGGCAGGGATACCCCGAAGAGGCTCCTTATGATGCCATTCATGTTGGAGCGGCAGCAGCAACTGTACCAAAGGAGGTAAGAGTGATCACGCTGGATGTCTGTTGCTTTGGGCTGCCTGCATCAGTAGCTGTGGAAAAACTAATAATTAGGGAAATGCTGGAAGCTGCTGCTTCTGTCGTATGGAGCTGGCAAGCTTGTGCTTTGCAAGGTGTCATGACCTTCAGTGTGGCTTCTTTCTGTTGTCTCTTTTTTTTGCCTCTGCTGATTCTGATTTCTCTGCTTGCCAGTTGCTGAATGAATTAAAGCCAGGAGGTCGGTTAATATTGCCTGTCGGTCCCGAAGGTGCAAACCAAGTTCTGATGCAGTACGACAAAACCAGTGACGGGCAGATCATCGAAACGCAACTGATGGGCGTGATCTATGTTCCTCTGACAGATAAGGAAAAGCAGTGGCCTCGGTAAAAATTTGCTCTCCTTTGAGGAATGTTTCTTCCTCACAGTCTCTGTGAGCTTGCTCTCCTTGACTGCTGGCTTTACTGACAGACAGAGTCCTGGATTCCTAGCAGATGCTGTTTGTAAAAGAGAGAAGAAAGAGACTTGGCTGTGGTAAGGCACAGCAGGAGAGCAGGATGTATTTTCTGTTAGATAGGTCTTGAAGACTGAGGACTCCAGCTTTTTTTCTTTTTTTTTGGAGCCTGCACACTTTCATAAACACCATAGCCTTGTTGATTCTGTTGCTGAACTGAAGGCCGTGAATAGTAACTGTTGGTTTTTCTTTGCCTCAGGGATGAATTCTGACAGATGGATGGATATCTCTAAAGTGACCTCAGAAAGCTCATGAATGGGACTTATAACTGTAGATGGTCTGTATGGTTTTGCTTTTTGAATGGAAGCTTTGTCAGCAGATGCGCTTGCAGAGGCAAGTTCTGCTTTAGCAGAGCTCGCTACAGAGGGATGGAGAAAAGGGTGTTTCTCCAGGAGCAGGGATAGGCTCTCGGAGGCCGTGTCTGGTTCCGGGCAGTGACTGGATCCAGCTGTCCTCTCTGATAAGCTGTAGATAACATCTATTCACAGAGAATTCCAAAAGCAGACGGGAATACTTAAACCTTCACTAAAAACACTCTTTAATATTGCTTACTCGTCTTATTTTCTTGAAGCATTAAGCAGCGATTACTGTTTCAGAGCAGCGATCTACCCCGATGTGTCAAAGCTTAATTCCGAGAGCGTGTTCTCTCCCTGTCTTGCATCAACTAATTTAATCTCTGGTAACAACACTGAGAACTTGGGGGTTGAGAAGCATCCTCATCTCTCGGCTTTTCCCTGGCGTGCCCTTCCTTCTGGTGCTTGGCCACCCCGGCGGCTGCAGCGGGAGGCCTTCAGAGCGGCGGGTGGGCCGCGGTGAGACCTAAGAGGCTTTTCTGGGACAGTTCTGGGGGAGGACCTGCCCCTTCGTGCCGGTGTCGTCCCGGTAAATAATGGCGTTCCCGCCGGGCCCTGCCGCCGCCTCCTTCCCTCACCTGAGGCGATGGGGGCGGGAAGGGGAGAGGCGGAAGCCGCACGAGCGCGGGGGGGCGTGGCCTCGCGGCGATTGGCCGCGCCCGCGC